GGATTGTCACAGTAGCTTCTATTTACAATATGTACACACATTTACTGTTTACCAGCTATTTAACCGGCACAAACACCACACCTGCTCTCTAAATGATTCTAGAAATCGAATGGACGGATGTCTGGGATGAAGAATGACTTTCTTTTGGTTTTATCACGACTCTTTAGACACAGTCAAAGGCTCCAGCCTCGGCCTGGTAATGGTCTCTCGCTGTGGGTTTTTCTGGGCCGGGGAACATGATCCCGGCTGCTTTTCCTCCTCCAGGTTTGTGTTTTCGGTTGGAGGTTGAGCTCTGACGAAGCTCTCACCCGGGCGGCAGTTTTCACGGGCGTGTGCCAGAACACGGGCGGTCAGCGGGAGCCTTTGGTTCAGCGTTTGGCGTAAACTGCGCCGAGTTAAATAAAGAAACAACATCTCCTCCTCCTGCTTCTGCAGGGAGGATAACGGAGTCCCAACTGGAGGTCAGCTCTCAGGAGCTGCTCACTCTGGCCACTGTCCCATCGGTCAGTTGGTCGTGGGTTTTTTTGGGGGGAGTTTTGTCTCACCTGATAAACAGCCTCACTACTGCCCCCCCCCACACAGAGCCGTTTCCATCAGTGGGGCGGAGCTATTTGAGTTTAATAATCCTATTACCGGCAACAAAATGAACTGATATTAGGTTTGGTTTAGGACTGGCGTGGGGTTGTAAAGTTGCTTACAGAGCCCCTTTATCTGGAATGTTCTTCAGGTCTTTTAAAACACAGTGGGAACAATTTGGGGTCAAAACGAAAAGCAAGAGCTGTTTTATGTCTGAGGAAGTAAAACTACACTTTTTCCTCAGGTGCGACAGCCAATCAGCAGCCGGTTCGGGGCCTGGCTGAGGTCAGGTGAGAGCGGGGGGGGGGGGGTTTAGTTTGTGGGCTGGTTCAGGGATGAGGGGCGGAGTGTCTGCAGTTAGTCCAGCCCAGTCTAGTCCTAGTCCCAGCCCGGTTTAGGAAGGTTAGTGGGCCGGTTTAGGGATGTGGGGTGGAGTGTCTGCAGTTAGTCCAGCCCAGTCTAGTCCTAGTCCCAGCCCGGTTTAGGGGGGTTAGTGGGCCGGTTTAGAGATGAGGGGCGGAGTATCTACTGCCCCCCCCTGACTCTGGCCCCTCCCCCCCCCCCCCCCCCCCCCCGACCGCCACCAGGGCCTGTGTAGAGTCGCACGACTGTTTCTCTGCGTCCTCGTCGTAAATGGCGCCCTCCGCCCCCCCC